GACCATAGTGTTCCTTTAACCCCTTAAGGTTCCGTCATGATTTCCTTTTATTCCAGAAGTTGTGTCATTAAGGGGTTAATAAAGCCGTTATGGAGACCCTGTACCTATTCATGTTCTACAGCTGCTCAGATCTGTTAACTTACAACTTGTAGATAATTAGGTTTTTGTAACGGACCGTTTTGCACACCAGGGGTTAAAACCGTTTAGACGATATTCCCCTTTTCAGATGCACAGGCACAGCTACTGCAGAACACCAATCTGCCGAACAGGAAACCATACGAATGCTGTAAACAGCCGAATAGGAAAAACCATACGAATAGGTTTACACTCCTAGAAGTCAAACTGGAACAGCATACAGTAAATCCCCCAAGAACGAGACAAAGCTCCGTGTTGAGGGTCAAGCAGTGAACAGTCAGAGCTGTGGGTTTATTGTTCTTATATACACATTAGTACCACCCACAGGGTTTTGGAACACAACCAATAAACACATACAATACACTCAGACACTCCCACACAAAATCCTCCCCTCTGCCTGTGATTCAATTACCTTACACAATGGGTAATGTAATTATAACAAGCAGAGAAATACAATTTTTCCACATTATTCATAACTTGAAAAGTATGCATCACATACACATAACTTACATTTTCAGAATCAGCATACTCCAAATACAAACATCGTCAAATTCATACAAATTGGTCCAATGGTTCAAAGGATAGATCGTAGTCCTTTGTGAACAAAGGAAGCATGGCTTTTCTGCCCAAAACCAGTTCCACAGAGTCTTCTATCCTGGAGATAATTGGGAAGTAATCCAATTATCTCCAAGGACAGAGGCAAATCTCCATTGAACACATGGCAGCAAAAGACAATAAAACACATAAAAACATATAACTGTGCAGCCATTGCACAAAACAGGTACATTCAACATATCCCCAGATAGCTCAGATCTGAGCGCACATTATTACTGAATGGCGCTCAGAGCACACACATACAGTTCAATTGCCATGGAGCCAAAGTCTTTCCCATAGTCTTTCATTATACGAATGGGCTCCATGGCATAGCTATCTGGGGTATCACTGCTCAAATAGGGCAAGCACCAAATGACCCGGCTTTCTTGTCTTTGCAGGGGAAAATCAAGCCTTTTAACATGGGGCCATAATCCAAAGGCAACAGGCGAGCAACCAGGCTTCTCCAATGCAATGTGGCGAGATTGGTCTCGTCACAGTTTTATTTAAGGTTTCCTTATTTTCATATTGCGTACATACCTCTAAATAGCTGTGTAGCATCCATTTCATACCAGTCAGGGTAGCTCTTAGCTAAGAACTTTCTTAGTTTTCTTTTGTCATACACACAAACATACCCACAGACATAGACATACACCACAATCACAGGTAGAAAGAGAATCGAGGTACTCCAAGTATCTTCAATTTTATTTATTTATTTATTTTCCTTGTGTAGCCGTGATGTCATTCAAGATATATTTGCCGATCCACACATTATGACTCAATGAATCCTAAAACATAAGCCAGGATCAATCTATGTCAGAATGTTGGACAGGGATTAGCCTGATGGCTCCAATGAGTAATTATAGGCCACTACATGGTTTAGAAATAGATGCAAAAACAAAATAAAAATGCACCTCTGTTAACACTGGATTTATAATTAGTAAACACAGCAGTCTTCCACTCCCATAATTAAAACTGAAGTTGGTGATTGCGCATTGTCCTCAATCAGTCCACATTTCAGCGCAAGAAAAATACAAGTTTGTTTATTAAAGAAATTGGATTCGGAGGCGGAGCCTAACCTTCAATGGAGTAAGACGCACGGGCCTGCAGCTCTCCCGCCCCGGCCGAAATACCCGCGCACATCAGCCGGCTACCAGGTGCATCTCGCCCCCAAACGCCTCCCACGGGCCCCCAAAGACCCCATACACCTCTTACCAATGGGGGGAAACAAAAAACGGAAGGAATCCACGCCGTCGGTGGCGACGATGTTTCGCGCCAAAGAAGACGGGCGGCCATCTTTGGCCCATGCCAGGCAGACTCCGGCTCAGACTCAGAGGGGAGCGAAGCAGAAAAAACCCCGGCCACCCCCCTCACCAAAGAGGACCTCCGGGCCATGCTCAGGGAGACATCAGCAGACATCAAAGCCTACACTGCAGCAGCCCTGGAGAAACAAATCACAGGCCTCAAGAAAGAGCTGGAGGTACTGACCTCACGAACAGACCACAATGAACGCCTGATAAAGGACACCCAAACAAAAACCACAGCCCTCCACAAGGACACAGAGCTCCTGCAAGACAGAATGCTCTACCTTGAAGACGGACTGGAGGACCTCAATAACAGATCCCGCAGACAAAATATACGCATCAGGGGCATACCTGAAACAGTCCTTCCAGACGCCATTCTCCCCACAATCAAAGCAATCTTCCAGTCCCTCCTCCCTAACGCCTCAGATCAAGAATTATACATAGAAAGGGCACACAGAACCCTGCGTCCCCCAACCTACAACCCCAACACACCACGGGATATCATAACGAAACTCCTATACTTTCCAGTCAAAGAACAGCTTATGAAAGCGGCAAGAGCCCACCAGCCTACCTACCAAGACCAACAAATACACTTCTATCAGGACTTAGCACCGACCACACTGAAGAAACACCGGGAGCTCAAGCCCCTTACCACAGCCTTGATCGAAGCCGGATGGCGCTACATGTGGGGACACCCCTTCAAACTGTCGGTGAAAAAGGGGGAACAATCATTCACCCTCCATCAGGTAGCAGATATGCAAGACTTTGCCGACCATCTTGGGATAACCTTACGCTACCCAGCACAAGACCCCAACCAAGCCACGAAAGAGACTGCGAGCCGCAGAGGAGGGCCCCATACGCTCCCAACACGCCCGCAACCTAAAAGAGGGTAATGAGAGGCCATGGGTCGCCTAGCAGTATACATGTCTCACAAGCACGCCAAAGCTATACTTAGTTCAGTTTCACCTGTTACGCTAACATATTACCCGGTGCGCACAGCTAGCCCCAGTCCCCAACTGAATCTCAGGGCCACAACCTGTAGACTGTCACAGGAGGCCCTAAGCTACTACACCTAGACCTAAGGGACTAAATGCAGACCCCGCTACTAGCCACAAGCACTGCTGGGTTAGGAAAAGGATGCCACACAACAGACATGTCGGCACATGGGTTCAGGTTGAAAGGCATGTCCAAGGCATACCAGGGCAGCATGTGACTTTGATAGTAACAAGAAAAATTACCGCAATGCTACTTATTATATAACCCACACGCAAGACTTAACTAACCATTACTATGTATTATAAAATGTTACTGTGCATGTATATTAAACACAGGTACCATACCACACACGGCTCCTCAGAGCGGTCCAAAAACACCCCCTCCACAGACCAACAACAAGCACCAACCAACAGTGATGAGGGAAGCGGACGATCCTACAGCTAATGGACAGATCCTGGCCAGCCCCCTCCGTACAACAGTTGACCTACACAAAGGACTGGCGATCCATGACAACACACAAGAACCCCTAGACCTGCGAAACCGACTCACCAGGTACGCACACAACGACACCATGGGACAGTCACACACTCACCCCCACTAAAGCTGCAGTACATCCACGTACTCACAAAAGCAATCCAAACGCACAACATGACCAACCCCACCCACACATCACACCCCACCGAGATGCACCCACGCAGACACCCCGGGGCGGGGAGCGAAGGGCACGCTTACAGTCCATTCTCCCCCCCACGAACACACAAACCAACTCAACTAATCTCACCTCAACCATACAGTGAGAACTAGAGGAGACCAACACCCCTTACAACAGACAGACACTCGCACACCCTCCCGCTCGCCCATCTCCTGGCAACAGACTAGTAAGACCAGGATCTAAACCATCTACCCCTTCCCCAACACCCCCCCACCCACAGCCCTACATCCTACATTGCCACCTCCCCCCCCCATCTTCCACCCACCTCCCCAAGGTACATCAAACATACAGACTCAGAACCAAACCCACTACAACAAGAAGGCACACACCAGCAGAACAACACCGCACCCACCAGCATGCCGGCCACCCTGACCTGCCTATCAATAAACTGCAAGGGCCTAAACAACCCCACCAAACGGCACCAAGTAATGCGCTGGGCAAACAGATCTAAGGCGGACATACTACTCTTGCAGGAAACTCATTACACCCGGACCAAGCAGTTCCCTCTCCTAAGCCGACACTACCGAATTAACCACTTCGCCAGCTCCCCCCACGACAAACACAATGGAGTAGCCATCATCATTCTGAAATCATGCCCTCTCTCGATCCAACGAACTATAGCCGACCCGCAAGGCCGATACCTCACTGTAACAGGCAAAATAGGCACGCACCTCTATGCATTCACGTCAATATATGCTCCGAACACCCCCTCCAAAGCATTCTGGCATACGATACAAGCCCACCTAGCCCTCTTCCCCTCCCACCATTCCATACTGGACGGAGACTTCAACGCCACACCCTCGCCAATGGTAGACAGGCGACGCACACAATCACGAATGCACCACCAACAACCAACAGCCAAAGCAGACAAAATGCTCTCTACCTTCATCTCAAAAACTCGCTTGATCGATGCATGGAGAGCCCATCACCCCTCATCCCTAGACTACACGTTCTTCTCGCACCCTCACCAATCCCACTCCCGCATAGACCTGTTCCTCATTTCCCCGGCACTGGCACCCATGGTAAACAACACGAACATAGGCTCCATCACGTGGTCCGACCACGCAGATATTACCCTGACACTTAACCTACCATGCACGACAAGACCCTGGTCTTGGCGACTAAACCCCACATTACTACACAACCCAACAATCCGACAAAATGTGGCCCAAGCTATTACAGAATACTTCACACTAAATAAGGACTCAGCAACTTCCGAAGGGTCTCTATGGGCAGCACACAAAGCAGTAATCCGGGGAGTCATGATAAATCAAGCGACCATACACAAAAGAAAACAGGTAGCCCACCTAGAAAAGACTCTAATGACCCTTAGGACCCTAGAGGCCCAACATAAACTTAACCCAACGCCAGAAACAAACGGAAAAATTGCAGAATGCCAAACAAAAATTAAAAAATACATGGCGAAAGATTCAACCAAAGCACTACTGTGGTCAAAACAACTATTTTATGACAAAGCAAACAAAGCAGACACACTACTCGCAAGGAAACTCAAACAGAGAACAGAACGTAAACAGATCACCAAAATTAACACACCAGAAGGGACTCTCACAGAAAAACCGAGCGAGATAGCCGGCGTCTTTCAGAAATACTTTGAAGCCTTGTACGACCACTCACCTACAACCCGACAAAACCCAACGCACACCAACACACTTATTGACCAATACCTACAACAGGCACCACTACCTTCCCTCCCAACAGAAGCAGAGGAAGCACTAGCCAGCCCCATCACGCCAGAAGAACTCGCAGGAGCGATCAAAACACTGAAACCCAATAAAAGCCCGGGCCCGGATGGGTTCACAGGACTCTATTACAAAACTTACGCATCCACCCTGATCCCCCACCTCTGCAACCTCTACAACGCGATCCTGGCAGGCGACCAACTACCACCAGACATGCTACAGGCCAATGTATGCCTCCTCCCCAAACCCAACAAAACCCTCCTAGACCCAGGACACTACCGACCAATCTCACTCCTCAACGTCGATATCAAACTACTCACCAAACTCCTAGCAGACCGCCTCAACCCATATCTAACCCGACTAATCCACCCAGACCAGGTGGGCTTCATACCCACGAGACAGGCTAGCGACAACACTAGACGGACATACGACCTCATCTGGACAGCTCACACAAGACAAATCCCGACCTTAATACTTTCGCTTGACGCAGAAAAAGCCTTCGACAGACTACTTTGGCCCTTCCTATTCGCGACTCTCGAAAAACTCAGATTCCCACAAGAATTCAGGAACGCGCTGACAGTACTATACGCCACACCTCAAGCACACTTACTCCTCCCACATACACAACCACCCTCCTTCACGATTTACAACGGCACGCGTCAGGGATGCCCACTATCCCCAGTCCTATTTGCACTCTCCCTTGAACCGCTCCTACAGAGCCTCAGGCTCAACACCGACATAACCGGCCTCAGAATACGAGAGGAAGAATATAAAACGGCAGCATATGCAGACGACCTACTCATCACAATCACGGAACCCATAACCTCCTTACCACCACTTCTACACGCCCTAGAAGCATATGCGGCGGTATCAGGGTACAAACTAAACATAGATAAAACAGAAGCCCTCTCAATACACATAGACCCTTCCACAACAGCAGCCATCCAAGAAAAATACCCCTTCAGACTAAAACCCACCCACATACAATACCTAGGGATCGCTATCCCGGCAGACCTACCCCAATGCTATGCTCTGAACTATACACCCACGATACAGAAAATAACCCACGACATCTCTACCTGGCAAAACATGCCGATCTCGTGGCTGGGCAGACTAGCGTCAGTCAAGATGAACGTGCTCCCTAGGCTTCTATACCTATTCCAAACCCTACCGATCCCAATCCGGAGCAGCGACTTCAAAACACTGCAAACAACCATCGACAAATTTATATGGGCCAACAGACGCGCCAGAATAAAACGCCAAACCCTATATGTACCCAATAGAGCCGGGGGCCTGGGCTTACCCCACCTTACACATTACTACCAGGCAGCCCAACTAACGCAGGCCCAAAACTGGCACGCCCCATACGGAGTTAAACGTTGGGTAGATCTTGAACACGACATTTTCGGCAGAGACTTCCCCTCACTATACATCTGGCTACAGAAATCAGCGAGGCCCCCGCTGCCCCGCACATCACCGGCGATACTCAACACCATAAACATATGGGACAAAACAACTCACAAGAGCGGCCTTACAACCCAACACTCACCATTAACCCCGCTACTTCGCAACACCCACTTCCCACCGGGCATGACACCCAAAGACTTCGCCCGCTTCGAGGCAAACGATCTCACTCGACTGTTCCACTACTACAAAAACCAACAACCAATACCTTTCCCAGAGCTCCCACATACAACACCATACCGTACATTTGACATGTTCCGCCACATACAAATCAAAAGCTTCCTAGACATGCCAATAACCAAACAAGCAGGAACTAAAGAGCTCACATCCTTCGAAAAACAATGCATGCAATCCCCGACACAAAAAGGCCAAATATCCGCACTCTACACACACCTAATCCAAAATGTTAAAGACGGGGCCCTTACATATGTGTCGGCTTGGGAGAGGGATCTAGGCCCGGCAGAAGACCCGACTGATTGGGCCAGGATCTGGGAGGCCACAGCATCTATATCAATCTGTGTCAACCACAAAGAACAGGCGTACAAGACGCTTATGAGATGGTATCTTACCCCCCTCAGGCTCAAGCAGATGGGCAGGTCAGACACGGACATATGCTGGAAAGGTTGCGGACAGAAGGGCACATACCTCCACATGTGGTGGGAATGCACACCCACCGCACAACTTTGGCAACAAATAGCTTCCATGGTATCGAAAATCCTCCACACAGACATACCACTAAACCCCTGGACATGGCTCCTATCCAAACCGCTTCCCAACACACCTAGGGCCCAAAACAAACTAATTGCCAAAATAGCACTGGCCACTAGAAGAGCCATTGCCGAAAAATGGGGTAGCCCAGAAACCCCGACCGTGGGTACAATAACCCAAAAAATAAAAGAGACAATTAAAATGGACGAATTGTCCGCACTGGTACACGACTCGACTAAGCACTTCCACAAAATCTGGGACCCATGGTTCTACGAAAACCCTCTCTCCACCTGAAACACACACACACCCACACTACAAAAACGCTCCGCAGACACTTAAACCACCAACACCTCCCAGAACCATCAGACACATCCCCTCTAGCACCAGCCACCCACACACACAGAAACATAAAAGAGCCAAGACCACCAAACATAACCCCCAACCATACAAACTGAGAGAACCCCCAGATAAGAAACCCCAAAGGGCCGAACAAATCCCCCAAAACCGGACACCCCGAAACAAATACAACAGAACCAAACATATCCGCCAACTAAGAAAACAGCTGAAACAGCCTAAATCCAGTGACCACACAACACAACAACCATACCAACAACCCCAGAGGTAAGCGAAACCACAGCACAACCCCAACGAGAGGCACCCAGCACACACTTAAATAATAGAAAACATACAGATGGGAAACCATAAAAGAAGGCCACAATAGAAGCAACATACGACAACAACCTCAATACCCATAACATCTCAGACTCACCAACGGGCTGAAAACCCACGCTGGCCGACACACGCATCGACTTACCAGACCACCCCTTATAACTGGGTCCACACCCAACCTGAAAAACAAAACGGAAACAACAAGTGAAGGTAACCCACCCCACACCTCCCCTTTCCCCAGCACCCCTCTTACACCCCCAGACATCATAGTGAACCAGACAACTCGACCAAAACCGAGCATAGACAACACCTGAACTAGGAAACAACGCAAAACAAGCAGGAAAAAGTACCCCCAAACACCTGCCCCCTCACTCCTACCCAACTGAACAATATGCGCTGACAGCGTACGACGCAACCCATCACGGACACTACACCACGCAAAAAGGCTCACACAAGCCAACTCATTCCCATAACCATCCAGACCCACCAACATAAAGAGAACCGGATTGATTTAAAGGAAGAATCGAAACTGTATGTAAATGTACCCCACTCACCTTCCCTCTTCTTTTTTCTGTACCCCACCCAATTCCCAATTCCCAAAGAAAAGTTGAAAGATATGCCACATGATATAGCCTGATCATATGCTACATGAGAATGTGATAACTCTGTAAACTTTGTATGACAATTGTACCGCCAACTTTTCTTTTCTGTATCCCCACGTTAAATGACAAAAAATTTCAAAATAAAGAATAAAAAAAAAAAAAAAAGAAATTGGATTCAAAGAAAGTCCAAACAGGGAGATAAAACGAAGGAGAGCTCAAGCCTTTCGCTCTTTCCTTTTCTTTCTTCCGGTCTGTACCCCTCTCTGTGCAGCCTTTACAAAACCCTTATTTAATGTGGCTTTGTTAAGAGGGATGTAGGCGTACGGATGTATGTTTGCCTTTCAGCTATACGTCACCTTTTCCTTTCTTTAACTTGTAATGCATTCCAATCTCAGTTTTTTGGAGAATGGTCTGGGAATCCCTGAGCCACCAGTTTTATACTGTGACAAGCTGCCCACTGCATATTCATCATCATCATCGTCTATTTCTCAGAAGCACTTCTTTTGTGCTTTTTTCGATTGAAGTCCAACCTCCTGCATTAGATCGCCCATCTCTTCATCCACATTTACATTTGATTTCTCTTCCTCTGCTTCAACATCCGGGATAATAGGATGGCCATCCGATGTGGTTTTAAAGTCGTGCTTCAGCTTCGTACCTTTTGCATCCGGTCTTGTGGCAAAGACTCTCTGTGCTTCACTTGGATCTAGGAAGTTTAGTGGTTCATCTTGCTCTCCTTCTTTTAGCCAGGCATGGCTCTTCTGCCTGGGCTTCTATTTCTCATCATCTTCATCATCAGTATCTGCCAACAGATAGTCTATGCTGTCTTCCTTGATCTTTGTTTCCTTGTCATCCTCCTCGCCCTGAGAAGATTCCTGTTTCATGGCTTTCAGTTTCTTGTTCTTTGCCTCTGCCTTGCGGATGTTTACGAGAACTTTATGATACTCCTCAGGAAGCATATTTTTCACCATCTTTCGGATGAATTTAGGTGAAGATGTTTCGAAGTTTCACACGAAAATGACGCCTCATGTCTTTATTTATATTTCCAATTTCCTCTATCATCATCTGCAGATGATCCCAGAGGAAGTCCCTTCGCCAGACGAAACGCGTCGGATCGTTGATTAGACTTTATGTTTTAAATTGTCATTTATTTTATTCATTTTGTTTTATGCTGCTGTTTGACGTCCTGCTTCAGTTATCAAGCTGCTACCACATTCCATATTGGGTGGAGATACCCCTCTAATTTTACTCCAGTTTGTATGTGCATTCTAATAAATTTTTCTACATTTTAAAAATTTACTTCACCATATGCAATATTTTTTCCTTTCTACACATATAAGGATATATATCATCTGGAACCTTTCCTGGTCCATTTAAACCCCGGTGGGGTGACAAGCCTGAATCATCCCATATTTGTGAGTTTTTCAACAACATCACACATTTCATTGTGTCTTTACTGTATTACACTATGTCATGTTTATTATTATTATAGCTCTCCATAGATCTTCAATTTGACCCATTCATCCTGGTCCACATTTCCAGGTGGTCTTTTACATTTTATACGTATACTAGGTGTTGTCCCATCTTTGTTGTTTATATTTCTTGTAAGGTGTTGGCGAGGCACACCTGGGAACACTTGTAGTTTTACGTAATAATATTTTTTTTCACTTTAGTGTATATTTTTTTCCACTTGTGTGTTTACCTATTTTGTTTTTTCACTGCAAATCATATATTTGGAAGGTAGTCATAAAGAGCTGTGATGATTTGAGCATCGAGCTCAGGCTTCAACAAAGAGGGCAGTGAATTAGAAGTGAAGAGGCTATGGAATGCCTGCATCGCACAAGCTGTGATTAACACATTGTTTAAGGTCATGACCTTAAGCAAGGTCTCACAACAAGTCTTTGTAACACTGACAGGGAAACAGGGTAGAAGGTCCTTTAGTAAGGCCAACATGTACAACGTAGTTGTGGCTTCTTTACTACCTCCGGACTTTTAAATTTCTTGGATGCAGAATTTAGCGGTGGATGAAGCCGCAGGATGGTAGCTTGGTGCTGATTCTGAAAACAAGAACTCACTGCCTTTTAGGACAGAGCAGATACCAAGTTGGGCAGCCTTCCTGATTTTAGGTTATGCGTGGACAGTGAAGATGAGTACTCCGTGATACACCTGCAGAGTTGATGGCTAGCTCTATGTAGAAAGCTCCAGCTTGCGTAGCAGGACAGACAGGCAAGCAGGGGCGGACTGACCACTCTGGCACATCGATCACTGACCGAGGGCCCGTGGCAGTCAGGGGCCCGGATACATAGACAGGGCAGCATTAGTTCTTGTGCTTTATTCCAGCAATAGTTGCGGGCCCCTGCCTGTGGGGGGTCTGCAACTATCGCAATATCACCTCCCAACTCCCTCTGCAGTGTGAGACCTGGCAGCATGCGTGTTCCCCCTCTCAGGGCTCTTCACTCTCCCAGCACTATGCAGGCACTCTGTGTGGAGCAAGAGGAGGGGAAAGTATGTGACATCCACTGCTCTTTTCCACACACGCAGAGCGGCCTTAACGCAGCTACAAGAGGAGCAGCACCTGGGAGACATGAATGCAGCCAGGAGCAAAGAGACACAAAAGGTGGGTTGGGTGACATAGGACATAGATATGTGGGTCTGTGGGTGTAAATAGGGTGAGGTGGGAGAGATAAAGGTGGGTGTAAATAGGGTGAGGTGGGAGAGAAATATGGGTCTGTGGGTGTACAATTGGGATGAGTGTAAGGTGACAGAAAAAAAGATCGGAGAGACAGATCACACATTAGGGAAGATAGAGAGTCAGAGAAACACAATGAAAATAAAATCACATTCAAAAGAAAGAAATTGCATGCAAACACACCACTGAAGTCATACACATGGTGACACACTGCTAATTTGTTTTTACAGACTGATAATCTACAGGCATATCGTTTTACATTCACACACATACTAACACTCCTCACATATAGAGTACTACAGTCACACACTGATACTGACTGAACATTCTGAACATTAATACACACAAACATTCACACACCAACAATCCACTTAATTTGCACACACAGCTTCTTCCACACAAATAAATTTTAGATCCCTACATATACATAGACACAAACACTACACTCAAGTACACTCACTCCTAGGCATACTGACACTTCATACAAATATACTCCTGCATTCACACAACTAAGTTGAATACTAATATACCCCTGCATCCATGTGCCATAATTCCCTATAAATCATGGATGTCAAACTTGGGGAGCCGCATGCGGCCCACAACTAATTTGTTTGCAGCCCGCGGCGAGGTTGCGCTGAGTGTAAGCTCTCCCTGCTCAGCTTCCCGCAGTGACGCCAGTAGCTGGAATGTGACGTCATATTCTAGGTCCCGGCATCACTCTGCGGCACGCAAGGGAGAGCTCAATATCAATGCTCCCTTGCTGCCTGTTTGCCTCCCTGCCTGCCTGAATGTACACCTGCCCAGCAGTCCCACTAGACACCAGGTAAGAAATCCACCCAGCTCTCCCAAAGTTAGGGAGGCTGGGTGGATTTAAATTAAAATAATAATAAAAAAAAAGTGTTGGGGGAAATGTGTGTATTGCTGTCTGTGTGTGTGTATGGCTGCCTGTTTGTGTGTGGCTGTGTGTATTCCTGTCTGTGCGTGTGCATGACTGTCTGTGTATGTGGCTGTCTGTGTGTGTATTGCTGTATGTGTGTATTGCTGTATATATGGCTGTGTGTGTGTGTGTATGGCTGTGTGTGTGTATGTCAGTGTGTGTCTGTGAGGAAGGCTGTGTGTCTGAGTGATTGTGTGTGTCTCGGAGGGAGCCTGTTTGTCAGTTAGTGTGTGTCTGTCAGTGAATGTGTGTGTCTGTGAGTGCATGTGTGTGTTGGAGTGATTCTGTGTGTCTGTGTGTATGTCTGTCAGTGAGTGTGTCTCAGTGAGATTGAGTGAGAACAGGGGCAGGGGTAGAAGGAGGGACTAGGATTTAGTAGACAAAAGGGGACTGGGATTTAGTAGACAAGGGGGGACTGGGATTTTGTAGACGAGCGGGGACTGGGATTTAGTAGACGAGCCGGGAGTAAGATTTAGTAGATGAGCGGGGACTAAGATTTAGTAGACGAGGGGGGGACTGGGATTTAGTAGAGGGGATCGATGTTTGTTTTTTAATACTGTACTTTTCAAAATAAACCTACGTTTCTATGAAAATGTACATTTTTGTTTTTTTGCAGCCCACTTAAACTTAAACCTTGTTTATTTGGCCGTTGCTAGCCTTTCCGTTTGACATGCTTGCTATAAATAAACCCTTGAATTCACAGATATGTTTTACATTCTAATAAACTTCCTGTTTTCATACACAGACACTACATGCTCCTGCATTTTATACTCTCTGGCACTACACAAAATATTCTCTGGGTTTCACATATATCAGCATTACACAAATACATACTTTGACTCATACAATTGTACTTTGAGACTACATAAATATTGTTGCAGTAGACATAATTCATCCCTCCATTTACACACAGTTTTTCACTAAACTCAAATATATCCTTGAATTCACACCTATTGATATTCTACAAACACACATGCATTCACACATGCATTCATACTGGCACAAGAAACGACCATGCACAATGATTTTAAATGCTCAATGCAAACATGCATTGATAATCATATGTATCAAAAGTAATACACAACATTA